ATCTTAAAAACTAGTCTTTGCACTACTGAGACTTTTAAAACATTGTCACCATGAAAAACTGAACAAAGATGTCAGAAGTCTATAAAACATTCTATTGAAATAGAATTTTATATAGACTTCTGATATCTTTTTTCAGTCATGCCAATAACCTCTAGATACATGGTGTTTAGGTATCTCTGTCACATCAGCTAGAATCAACTAGAATATGAAGAAGACCATCTCTTCACCTGAAAATTGTTAACTGATCAAGCTTTGCAGAAAGGGTGTAAGTTATTTGATGTTGCTATGTTAAGCACCTCAAATGTTTGACATCGATAAGCCTATCGATAAGCCTATGGGTCTGGTCTGTTGCCAGCAAAGAAACAAAATTGTGAAAGAATGCTCTGAAGGTTGCATACAGATAAAGCTCTGCTATAAAATGCCCTAAGTTATTGATATTTTTTCGTGCCCAGTACTTCCTTAGATAAAGATTATACAGACAGTTAACATTACAGATTATACCAACAGATGACATTGCAGATTGACAGATAATAGATACACACATCAAAGAATAAATTATTTTTCGAATATTTATTTGGGAGTCATTCAGATACACAAATTCTATTTCCCTTATGTTTATTTGTCTTTTTAAAGGCATTTTCTCCAAAAAATCTCAAAAGCAACCAAGGGCATCCAAAGAGGACAAGATAAGCTAATTTCATAACAATAAATAGCAATTCAATAATACTAAAATAACACATCTTTGCCAATCAGGTGATAGCTATGCCAAGTTATAGAAATAAAAGCACTGCTTAACATTTACTCCTGAAAAAATAAACATTCATCGGACTGTAATGTTATGTTTTTAGTTTTAAGTCTAATAGCAACAGCTTTCCCAAATTAAAAGATCTCTGATACATTTGTGTCTGCTGCTTCATAACATAACATAACATACATAACATAACATAACATAACATAACATAACATAACATAACATAACATAACATAACATAACATGACACATAACATAACATAACATAACATAACATAACATAACATAACATAACATAACATAACATAACATAACATAACATAACATAACATAACATAACATAACATAACATAACATAACATAACAAACATAACATAACATAACATAACATAACATAACATAACATAACATAACATAACATAACATAACATAACATAACATAACATAACATAACATAACATAACATAACATAACATGACATAACATACAATAGCATAACATAGCATAACATAACATACATAACATAACATAACATAACATAACACAACAAAACACAACATAACATAACACAACATATAATTTGAAATATAGCACACAAAATTAGAAACCCAGCATGCTCTAATGCGATGTTTGAAACAAATCGAAATTGAAGTTAAAAACATTTATAGAGAAAGTGAGGCTAGCTATTTTCCCTGGAACCTCAACAGAATTTTTGAAACCAGATTTTCTATGTGTATTAAATACTTGTGTCTGTAAACTCATAAAATATTTATTAAATACTCTGTCTATTATTTTTAAATTTACATCGTCATGATTCGAGTCAATTTGATCAAACAAATAATATTTTTTCTATACTTTGTGTTGTATTGGGAAAGAATTGACAATGCTAACTGACACTGATAATATATACATCTTATGCGATAAAAACAGAGTTTTTGGCAATCATATTGTTATTAAATAACAAAGAATAAAGAAACTGAACGTTAACAAGAATAAAGCATAAATAACAATGTTTCAAAAACGTTTGCTTCAATAATAATTCACCTCCAAAGAAAAAAGTTTGTTCTCGGCTCAACATAGAACTTTTAACCAAGTAGGCCTAGCTCCGATACTTTAGCTGCAGAGATAGGAGCAGAATTTCCAAGTCTTTTAAGCTCAATATTGCTAAGGTCATGCATGAAGCTTCCAATATTAACGTTTCCGACAGAACTTAACCTTTTTCAGGATATCCTTTCCCCTTCTCAGCTTTATTTCCCTGTCTGCCCCTGCGAAAACCCAACCATGGTTCATGGCCCAACCATAGTTTGCAATGGTCATACCATGGTTGAGTCGTGATCCTGACAAGTGCTGACCATGGTTAGTGACCATGGTCGAGCAATGAAAGAAGATTTTGCCTGCAATGATTTTAATTTGTTGGTTCTTGGAAAATATGAATCCTCAACTGTCTAAAAAGTTATCCTCAATAGAAATATAAGAAAAAGTAACAGTTTTCTGTATTTTTTATCATTTTCCATGTAACCATGTCTGACCATGTCAAGACCATGGTCCATGTCTCAAGACACAACTCAGTCAATAGGGGGGATTTATGTGCTTGGTTTCTGATACCTTCAAATTGAAAGATTATATTTTCCTTGTCTCACTATTAATTTCCTTCATTTATTCTGAATGGCAAGAGTTTTACATAAACATGGTCTAACCATTGCTAAACCATGGTCCATTTATCAACTGATATTCATAAAATGGCAAAGAACTTCTAAATTAAACAGCTTGATATCCACTAGTTTTGTTTCGTGGACACATTTCCTTGTTTTTAAGCCATAGAAAAATTATTTTCTTTGAATTTGAGATGTTTTATGAAAATTTGGCCTGACCATTGCAGACCCATTGCTGAACCATGGTCAATTTATTAATTGACATTTCTTAAAATGGCAAAGAATTTTTAAATTAAATTCAAAAGCAAGATCAAGCCCCCTGTCCCCTTCAAAGTCAAGAAAATTTCTAACAAGAAAGATAGGCTCCACCCCCTATGTCCCTACAAGAAATCTCCACTGTTTAAAATCCTGGTATTTTCTTCCTTTCCTACTAAGAAATTTTTGCCTATAAGTAATTTTTTGCATGGTTATATGTTTCATTATTAAGCAGGCACCAGGGAGCTTTGAGACGGTGGGGGTTTTAAAGAAGTGGGTGCTAAAACCTTTTAAAAAGAGGCTTTCCTGGTAGTTTATTACTTAATATTTGACATTTTTAGCAGCCCCCCTGCCCCCCTGCTATGCGGTGCCTGTTAAGTTGGGTATTCCAAAATTAGCTTTGTTTTGTAGACATATTTCCTTGCTTTCAAATAAGAAAACATTTATTTCCTTTGGATTTAAATTTTCTTATGCATGCAAACATGGTTTGACCATCGCTAGACCATGGCTCAACCAACAAGCAACTGCCATTTTTGAGCGCGCTTTTTCAAACACAAGATGGCCGTTTGGATTGCAGTTCGATCATCTATCAGTGCGTTCACCTTTGCGATTCATGTACGCAGCAAAAACAAGATAATTTTTTAAAAGTTTTGTGCAGTTGGGAAGTTTGTTGATTATGTTGAAAGCTTCATCGTAAAGAACTGCTAGGTAACATAGCGTATTTAATGTTAGGCCCGGACAGATCTAGAGGACTTGGGACCCTTTTTCTGACCGAAAGTATTGTTGCGAGTGATGCAAGATTTCGAAATAAGAACGTTTTTGTGGAGCAATTTGATGATGGATAACGTTTGATCCCGATAAAAAGGTATATACGGATAGATCGCGTTTACACGGTGCCGTACAACTTTTGATAAGGAAAGACTTCCCGTTCATTACGAGTACGGATAAACCAGACTTTTCGCAACGAACGGCTTCAGTTTAAACTCTCCTCGCACCAGAGTTTATTTAAAGAATTTTAAAAATTTAGAAAATTGGACTTTATGGGCGTTGTCTTTCTAAATTTTTAACGACCACGCCCCTTCTACTATCAGGGTATACACCAATTTAACTTAAACTTTTTTTGATAAAATTCTTTAAATGTTTTTGTACAAAATCTTTTATTCCAGATTCGCATTAAGAGCAAAAATTTTAGTCTACTTGAAAATTTTCATAATGTTTTTGGTCACGACATTGATTTTATTATGACATTAGAAAACTTTCATTAGGAATTTGACCGTGATTGATAGCTAAGGGGGTAAAGTTTCACCTGGAACGATTATTGTTGTGAAACCCCTTACAAGTTCATACTTGAATTCTCTGTAAAAATTAGAACACAAGCAGAAACAATATGAAAGATTGTATCCGGAAGTGACTTGCGGGCTTTATGCACTTCAATGCACGATTATGATGCCCTGGAAGCAGGCCTGGCTTCAGGAAATTTTTTTGGGAGGGTGCAAGTGTTTATCTACCGAATACATTTTGGCATTATTACACTCCGTTAATGCGACTGGTGCATTGTGCTTCACAGTTTCAGAGATGGGGCCACAAAACTGAGTCTTGGGGGTTAAGAATCAAGTTCAGTGTCATAGTAGGACCCGCCATGGTTGGGTCCGACGCGAAATAAATTTTTTGAAATTAAGCCTTCTAGGATGGCTAGAAATGCATCTCCCAGACTAAAATTGTCTCTGGTTTTGTCAAATATCTTGGGATTAATCTTCTTCTGTGATGTTCCTGAAAATTCTCTTCTGGATCAAGGGAAAAACTGAACTCCAGAACTTTTTAATATCTTTGAATGTTTTTAAAAATTACATGAAGTACAATTTTCTACAAAAAAGTTTATCTACCCATCAAAATCCCAATTTTACTGACTAAAATCCCAATTTGGAATCCCCCCCACACACCCCCATGGAACCGGCCCTGCCTGGAAGCCCCATTCTACAGATTGTGAGAGGCTAGTATTTGCATACAGTCTCATGAAAACAAGTTCAAGAACTGCATGTTAAGCCTGAGCTTTGCCAAACTTTACGCACACTTTTCATCCTAGATAAGATGCCTTTTTTAAAAATTGATCAGGAACCTTGAAGTGCTCTAATCAGCAACAAATAAAAATATGATATAAAGCAAAGTGAGCTTTCTTGTGAAAAGCAAAGCTTTGCATTAAAATTTACTGTGTCAGAACTTTGATGAGCTCAAAAGAGATTCTCTTTGAGAGTGCTTACAGCAGGAGTTCATGAAGTGCAGAAGCAAGAGGAATCTTAAAGAAGAAAAAAAGCAAAAGTGAACCATGGCTTCATGGTTGGTTGATATGTTTGAACCATGGTTTGATCATGGTCAAGAGACATGGTTGAATCATGGTTTGATCATGGCCAAGAAACATGGTTGAATCATGGTTCGATCATGGTCAAGTGACATGGTTGAACCATGTGTGAACCATGATCCAAACCAAGTTTACAAGCATTATGCAATTCCTGTAAAAATTCAAATTTGTATTTTCAAAAATTCAAATGTTTATATGGTTGAACCCTGATTTGACCTAAATTGGTAAAATGATTAGATGACATGGTCTAACCATGGAAAAACATGGTTGAAACACATTTGTTGAGCATGGTTAAGCCATGGTTCAACCATGAACAGGTAACCATGTATTGGCTATGGTCTGACCATGGTTTAAACTGAAATCATAAAAAGAACTGAAAATTTCAAAATTGTTTAAAATAATCCTGAACATTTCAGCTTTCAATATTGCTCAAGCAAATTTTTGAAAAAGTAAAAATTTTGAAATATTAGACATGGTTTAGCAATGGTTGAGCAATGGGTCCCATTGGAAATTCGTGGTTCTACCATGGTTAACCATGGTCATTTCGTTGCTCAACCATGTTGGGAAATGGTTGAAAACTTATGCATTGAGTGGCTAAACATTGTTGCTGGATCCGTTTTAAAACAGATCAATCATTATTTTCTGGAATTTCGACGAGACAGAAAACACCATAGCAAGCACCGCGACTGTAAATGCTTGGAATTTGCGAACGACGGCTTATTTTTCCAATATTAATATCAATTCATAAATTTAAGTGCAATATAAGGCCAGTCACCAAGTTTCACATCGATATTCGAAAGAGAAGTGAACGAAATCAATCCTTACTTTTACCAAATTTATAAGGGCTCGGTATGGAGCAAGTTCCTTTTTGCCACTATTCAAAATGGCGGAAGTAAACAAATTTGCCTCACAGTGGGCCTGTGAGTTAGACATCTAGCCCTTCGGCGCTCGGCGCTTCTATATCATTGCCCAAAAGCGGCTGGCACGGAAAAGAGGCTCGACCCGTTGATTGAAAATTGTTTTCTGAGAAATCTAGAAGTCTCTTTTGTTCATGAATGGGTGAGTAAAGTCGCTTTGCAGACAAGCTTCCAGAAGGTCGATTTCAAAAGAACTTGAAGACAATATTTTCGCTAATCTGAGAAGGTACTGAATTTTCTTATATTTCTTTCTTTCATATCTTCTGATTGTACTAAGTCCATGTACGGTCCAACTCATTTGCTGCGTAGATAAAGTTATTCGAGCCCCGTGGAGATCAAGTTGCAGTAACTTTCTAGCTGCACTGATATTAGGCCTCAAACCCGGGATATCGGAACCCTCAAATTTCGAGCACCCTATTCACTATTAGGTATGAATCAAAGCTAACTACTCAATCTACTCAATCTTTTATCAGTCGGTATGAACCATCTACTCAAGTCAAATTTGGTATGAAACGTAATTACTTGAAGAATCAAACAACCAAGCTTTGCGCACGTGTATTATCTAGGCCTTCTGGTTGTTTGGCGCGAGCTTTGTACTATAAACTTACAGGCAGAGATACACGCATTCTTCATTTTTTAACAAATTCAACGCAGGGGCTGCTATGCCGAGCAGGTAATTCCCTCAGAAATACGCTTAAATTTTACATGGAAGCTCTTGGTCATTTCAGCCGCATACCTGACGTAAGCGTCGTAGCTACAATCACTGCCAAAAGTCTTGGAACACTAACGTAGGTTTTCGAAGGAAAATTCAGCCATCCCCCTCTCCCCCTAGGAACAATGTTGATTTACTATAGAAAAAAGAAAGGGGTTATGGAGTACGCTTTTTCTTGTGGACGTTTGATATTTCTCTATACTTTCAACATTGTTTAGGGGGGAAAGGGTGGCGGAAGTGGTAGTATTCAAGAAAACAAATGAAAAATAGAAAAGCACAGCGCAAAGTGTTGGTGTTCAAAGTAATTTTGGCAGTGATTGTAGGTGCTTTAAAGTAGGGAACCGCAAGGGGGAAATTTGCCGAAAAGAACTCCTTGTTGGCAAAAAATCCTCGGGGCATCACACCCTTCGCCCCCCTCATAATAGCTATGGCCCTGGCCTGACGCGCAAACCTTGTCATTTGTGAATTTGCCATACTCTACCGACTGGGAGCAAAAAAGATGCGAGTTTAAGGTAGCAGTCTACCATGAAAATGTTCAGTTATGAAAATTTTGTCAAAATTCCTTTTTCCTTGGATATGATCAGGAAAATTACTGCAAAATTTGATTTTGAAGGAAGTTTTCCCGTAACTGTTGTAGTTTTTGCGAAAATTTGATTTATATATCCCCTGGGTTGATCATCTTTCCTTAGCAACCAAGTTTCTATCGGTTGCTAGGGGGTCTGTTGACACCCATGGGACCCGTTTTTGAAAAAAATTATATTACGTAATCTATGGTCTTCTACCATATCCCAAAATGCATTTATACCACTTTAAAAAGCACAGGGAACGAATGAAGCATAGTTTCTGTTTGGCCTGGCCGACGAAAGTTGTTCGAAGAGTCCTTCTGTTTATGAAGCGAACTTATCCGACAATGAACGCCCTGAAAAGAGAGTTTTTAATCGAAAATTTAGGTCGGTAAAGCGAAGAAAAGAAAAAGATCTGGTGGAAGTAGAAAAAACTATGTATTCGAAGCAATGACATGGATTTGGATTACTTAGGCCAAAGCGAAAAGGTGTTGAAGATGTACTGCCTACCTCGTCTTCACAAGCAACAACGGATCAAAGCAAAGAATTAGAGGAACACAGTGCTTCACTTTATTAACTTATGAACTCTTTCTTTGGTTCAGAAAACCTTAGTCCCATAAAAAGACCTATTTCCGGATAAAAGAAACGAAGGATGCTGCTGCTGGCAATATTGGCAGTGTTGACGATGGCTACAGCCTTATAGATAAGAAACTTTTGATGAATGCAATCAACAAAATTGTTGTTTGTCGTACATATAGGAATCCAAAGGCACAGTTGAGCCAGCTGCTTAGTTTGACCTCTAGTTTAGCAATAAGTTTGGCCTTGCAGAGAAATATTCTCTTGTATGTAGCCATTGTCATACAAGTTCACCACTTGAGACCAGTGAAAAGCTCAGTGGATCTAAGAGGGCAGACTTGAAAGGGGGACAGACCACATATGAAATAAACTGTAGATCAGTTGTTGCTTTACTAGAGACTGAATGTGCTGGGTTGGAGAGATCTTTTGGCTTATGAGTCTTCCAAACACTGTCTCAAAGTCACCTTACAGCAAACAGTTAAAAAATCTTGAGGAAGTGGCAGTAAATGTATGTGAAAACATTATGAATGAAGCAGCTGCTAGGCTTATAGAGATCATTGAAGGAGAAGAGCATACAATGATTGAATTTGATAAACCATCCACTGGAATGAGTCCTTGCATGGTATGGTATGGGCATGATGTCCAAAAACCTGTCAGGTTTAGTCGTTAGAGATCAGTGATTTAATGGAAAACGAAAAGTTACAATCGCTGTTTGCCATTCTGTTGGAAATTTCAATATTGGGCCATCATCAATTGCAGATGTTTTGAAGGCATTGCAACTTAAGTGTGGCCAAACAAACTTTAAATTATTTGATACCTGTTGACAATAGAAGGCTGAAAGATGCTGCAAGGAAGGTTTCACAGAAATACAAAGATCGGAGACAAAAATTACAAGCTGCCACCTTAAAAACATCACAGGAATACAAAGATCGGAGACAAAAATTACAAGCAATAAAGAAGGGAAGACTTGATGTAGCTAGGAATAGCTATTTATCAAGGGCTTTTGGTCTTTCTGCAGAGCCTGAAAGCATTTCTAAGAAGGTAGTTGATGCAAGTCTAAAAAGGAAAAGAGGAAATAAGGAAGGAAAGAAAAAGAGACCTAGAAAGTCGACGGACCTGTCGAGTAATGAACATGGATATTTAAACCAGTTTGAACCCCCAGTTACCTTTATGATGCTTCTAAACATTATTATTGACTTCTTTTAACATTTTTGGTTGTATCTATGGGTACATTATGTGTGATACACAACCAAAATTCAGTCAAGTTGCAAAAGATAAGAAAAATTAGTTATTCAGTACATCTCAAAACTTCAAATGCACTTTTCTCAAATCTCAAATACGGACATCTATTAAGCTTGTGATTAAGATATCTTTGGCTCTGTATAAGATATGAAGATGAAATTTTCAAATAATATGTATCTTTTAATGCTCTATGCAATAAATACATAGATTTTTGATAGAAGAAATATTTCACAAAATATTTTAGAAAACTCAACTTTTCACAATAAAATATCTAGCTGACTTGGTATCATGAAACTGTGTGTTCATTGCATAGATTATGTAAGTAGAAACTTGTTGCTAAAAAATTTTCACCATAGCCTTTAGCATTCATGAGATATCATTTCCACAATTTGCAGAAGTTCGGCCTTTGTTTTTATGTTTCTATGGCAACGTCATTGCCACACCCTTCCAGACATCTATTTTTGCTTTTTAAATCTTACATTGTTTATAACCTGAAAGTTTCAAGCTTCAAGCTCAAGCCATTATCAAGTTTTGGCCAGTTTTCCATATTGCTGCTTTCAAGGTAGACTGCCACCTTAATCTAAACCTCATACTTTTTTTCCTGGTTAATTTATGGATCGTTCCAGGCTTGACCCGTTGTCCTGTTATAAAATTTGAAAATTATTTAAAGAGAATAAAATTCAATGGATTAGAGGAGGAACAATCGAAAAATTGAGTCATTCAAATGTGTGGCGGCGCCAGGGGGTGAAATTGTGCAGGGGGGGGTTCGGGTATAATTGCCCTCCTCTTTGGTAATATTTGGTTGTAAATGAATGAATCGTTGAGACAAAGTGGTCCTTGACAAGAATTTGAACAAAGAAACAAAATCCAATATGATCCATCTTGTATCTTCTGTTCAAACGATTTTTCCGCTATTAAGGTCGTCAGCGATTCATGTTTTTACGGTTGTCCCGTAACGTCAAAATATTCTCTGACTGTCAGCATTGGGCGAGGGCGTGTCCCACTCCTTAAGGCTGTGGTCATAAGATGAACAATCTTTTGTGTTGCTTAGATATGTTTCTACTTAAAAATTCATAATGGCTTTAAAAAAAGCAAACATTTAGTAAACTAAAGCTTTTCGTCTGACACTCTTCAGAGTTTAAAACGTCAGAACATAGATCGAAAACCCTACGCTAGGAAATATATATACCCAGTTGTGGATCAAAATAGGCCAATCATTAACGCGGGCACACGACTGTTGAGGTTGACCAATCAGTGCCACTTGCTTATCTAGAATGTTACCAATGGAGTTATTTTCTTCCTGATGATAAGAAAAAAATGACTTCTTTTGCCCGGCAAAAACCCTTTACGTGCCGACGGACAAAGTGTTGGGGAGTACAGCGCCTCCTATAGCCCCCTTTGGCGACGCCCCTCAATTTCAGGTACATTCTTTCGCTGGTATTGTCCTCGCACACACAAACAATAATAAAATCTTTTGTCATTAAACAAGTACGGCAGCTATTTCCGTGAAACTTTATTGGTGATATTTTGATGCCTTCTATGTACGCCAGAAAATTAAACTTTTTTGACCTTGAGACGTAAAGATGGGAGTTTTAAAAATTAAGAATTGAGTTACAGGAGGTGCTTGCAAATTGCTTTCTGCGAAAACAACTCGAATAGTTATCGTGAAATTGCATCAATTCTAGGCTGCTCAATTGGTGCAGCTTTTCGCGAAAAAGGGTTGGCAGACCAAAGTAGTTTACGACGCCGAGAGACGAAAGGTCATTTTAAGTGAACTGCGAACCGAAGTAATACGTTTGAATCCTTACCATACATTATATTGTCATGTTTAAAATTTGACTGCCGCAAAAGGGTGTGGTCCAAAAGTAAATGGTCAAAAAGGGGCGTGGGGAAAAACTATTTGCGCATGCGCAATGTAAAGTGGTTAAATAGAGGTGTTACTTGCATGTAAAGATTTTATGTTATTCAAGGAAACTATAAAACAACATTCTCTTAAGTAATTCTTCACTGCCAATTATGACTCTTCACTGCCTACTTCTTTTACAGTTACAAAGGTTAGCATGGTTAATTATAGGGTTTGGTTGATATCAAATCTGCATTGATTCTATATCTTGCTACTGCACAGGAAACTTCTGTCAAAAAAATTCACCACCTTGTCTCTGGATGAATTTACACCGATTCCTAGACAAAAAATTTCCAAGAAAGGCAAATTGCATAATATTAAGCTTTAGAATATTGAAACCATGGATAACTATTGAACCAAGAGAATGAAAAACTTTCTCAGATCAGGCCGTTTAGGGGGTTTTCCAAGATATGGGGGCTTTTCCAAGATATAGGGGATTTAAGTCATTTTAGGGTGGTGTCTTTGGATAACGATATACTTTGTTTAAGAGCACAAAAAGTGATAAAAGCAAGTATATAGCAATGCAACCTTCAAAAGTCAAATTGTTTTTATCATTTGCGCTAATTCCGATTATTGGGGGGTGAGCATAAACAAAAACCTATAGCTTAGCGTGCTGTTATTCAATCAGTTATTATGTGCATAAATTATGCGAAATATTTAGTGCAAAAAGCCTTGCTGTAGTTGTTTCTTGTAGTACTCAAGATATTTTAAAAGGTCCTAATGATATGCAATGTCAAGACGAAATAATCCTCTGTTTCACTGGAAGAAGTAGCTTGTTGACTTCATTCGTTTGACAGTCTTTCCATGTGCTGCCACGTGGAATCTTGACTTGCTTCGTTGTTTTGGGATATTTCTAGGCTCTTTCTAACAGTTCTGTTTTTATTTCAAATTGATTAACTTTAATTGGAAGATTTGATTGCGAAACCCTTAAAGTAAGGTTCTGTTCTTCAGAACCTATTCTTCTCGTTAGACTTTCATCAATGTTTTTAATACAAGAATATAATTCAAAGACCATAAAATATCTTAGTTGATGCTAATTACAAACCATACACGAGGTTTCCCTTTCATATCTTTCTCGGGATGTGAAAGAATCATATAAAATATGGCAGAAAGAAATGAGAAATGTTTGTTATTCACTTTGGGCAGACCCCATAATCATGAAAAGCAGCTTAGAGGAATACCTGAACAATTACTGTTGGAGAGCACTTTGTTCATAGATCTTGCCACCAGGACTTTTCTAAATCCATTTTAGTGAAAGGAAATAGAGATGAAAAGGCCAAAAGCATTGCCATAAAGGATTCCCCTTTGAAAAAAAGATGACTTTGTGTACTGGAAGGCGCTTCCCGAAACTTTCCATAAAGTGCCCATCTGCAAAAGCAATCAAGGGAGAAGCAGCCAATCTGTGTAATGTAGACATCCGCAGCTTGTAAAACACTCGAGCAAGTGCATCCCACAAACTGCTATTGGTTTCTCTGCAATGGAAAGAAAAAGAGCGACTCTTTGAAGTAATTGAGGAAGTTTAGGTGGCAGAAAAAGTAGCTCTTGGTTGTGCAGAATCTGAATAACCCCTCCAAATTTACTGCATCAGATTTCGTAGAGAAAGAACTTCACCAATTGAAGCTCTTCAAGCCAACAACGAGGCAGCAGACAAGAGGAAATGCTTTCTGCTACACCAAGCAGTGACAACAGATAAAGATAGATATCCCAATTCCTTGTCCTCAATGAAGTTCTAAACCTTGCAGTCTACATAGACAGTGGCAGTGGAAAGAATCCAAAGATCTTAGCATTAATTTTCATGTCATCTCTCTTCGTTAGAAAAGACAACTCTCTTCGGCTTGCATTCTTCCAGTGGAAATGATTATGGAACTAACGAAAAGTACACAAGAGTTCTTGTCTACATTTGCAGAGCTTAGTTTTTCAGCTGATATCCAAGAAAATGTTATTGCATCACTGATTGTTGCCTGTCACTTGTTTGGTGAAAGACAACACCACTGTATAGATGACGCCTACCGAGAAATCTTCTCGAGAAGATTTTCAATGGATGAGAAAGTTACAAATTTACTTGTGCTCACGGGGGTTTTCCAAGTTCCCTTTCCAGACAAAATGGGTGAGCCATCCTTAATTCGCCTTTTTTACCCCCAAAACGGAACTTTTCTTCAAGTGTGTTGTCACTAACCCCATGCCCCCCCCTAGCGACGGCCCTGGTGGCTAGAATGAAGAGACAAGCATCAACTTATATAATAATGCAGCAGGGTACCCGGGGTACTAATCTCACTCTCATTTTAACTAGAGTGAGTCTGGTTCCCAGGGTAGCAGCAGGATGACCCACGCGGGTTTCTCGGTTGATTGGAATTTGGAAGCTTAGTTATTGTGAGAATCTTGCGGTAGAAAACATCGTTAACGTATGCATGGCCTCTACGTATATAAGAACCTTACAGGCTAGAATTTAGAATAGCAGCCTGTTAATCAAGAACCTATCCAGGCTGCCAGAAAAAACCTAGGTTCTTTTATGCTGGTTTCTTCTGTATGCAACAGGAGATTCATTTACAAAGTACCTCATCTTGTAAGCTTTGTAACTGTAGTGTTTATAGATTTAAATTGAAAATGTTTCAATTATTATTTTTATTGTCAATGTGGGAGCTAAAAATTTCAAGTTTAAAGCCAAAAAAGAAATAACTACCAAAATTTGTTAGTAACTACAAATAACAATAAAGTCAAGTTTATCATAAAAGTATCAGTCTCGAAAATTCATTCATTCGTCGTCAGTTTTTAGGAACAATGTTGAGAAGCAATAGCTTGACAATTCCCCGTCCTTTGTGCCCCCCCCACAATGTATAAGAAACGAATGGGAATCTTTGGGTAAAAAGGCAAGCAATTATTTGTTTTGAAAATTCCTTTAATAAATTTCATCAAACTTCAGGTTGATGTTGTCAAAAGATGGAAAGCTGTACGGAGACTTTAAATACAATTTCACTAGTTCCTATTTGTCTGGTGCCAGGTGTCTCTGTAAGTATAATATAATTAGCATAGCTATGTAGATTCATTTCAAAAGACTGACATACCAGTTGTACTCAATACTAGTGATTTTTTTTCAACAATTGTGCCATGAATTTCTTTCAGGAGAAGAACTAGAAATTATCCAAGTTCTCTTAATTATCCAAATTGGGCTAAGAAACTTTTTAAAATTTAATTGATTCATGTTTTCAAGTAGTTTGCCTATTCGAATATGTGAACTATAATAGTAATCACACTCGAGCTGAGCGGGTAGATAAGTTATATCTTGGTTATATTGACGGGTATGAGCGGAGCGGGTAAATTGAAAAGTTATATTTTTAAAAGTGTTATTTTGTAGCATTCATGAGATTTTTCTGACCCGATAAATGCTGCATCTCCCAGTTATGTGCTGTGGCACAGTAAAGGGGCTCTCTTTCACAAACAATGGCACGCATGTCATCATTCATTATAAAAGCATTTCGTCATTTGCTATTTGTAGATCTTTTACATAGCTGCATCGTTCTTGTACAAGCATATATCGAAGTCAAGGCTTAAAAGCTTCAAAGAAAGTCCTGCTTTGTAAGTATCCACATTGATATGTTTCTCTTAATAACTGTACCAAAGGTCTAAAGATTACACTGGCCTGATGTTAGGCCACGCACATGTAGGATAAATGCTAGCTTGTACCTTCGCACGAGTTTTGTTTTAAAAAGGTTGTTATATTGCTCTAACATTTGGGGTGTAGCATGCAAATTTGGATTGGGAATGATTTTCTTCCATGCTTCTGCATAGTAAATCCCAATTAATCTTGGTATAAGACAAAGCGGGCCAGTTTGTAAAGAAATCAATGTACTAAGAACTGTATTCTATGAATGCGTAAGTATTCTATTCAGTGATCAATTTTTTGATCGTGACAAAGATTCAAAAGATTGCTAGAAATGTTGAGTGAGATATCCAGTTAGCTCCAGTGGCAAAATAAGCTGTGCTGTAAAGATGCGTTTTTTCAAAGAGTATATTAGAAATTCCTAAAGCTTATTAAGATGGCAAAGAAACTTACTACAACTTCATTTGGAATTTTTGCAATCTAAAACGCAAACATTAACTGAATAGTAGAACTTTCATCCATAATTACTCCCGAATAATTTTGATTAATGGAACTGGACAGACACTTTGCTATTTATAAAAGGGATTTAAATAGCACTTAGATACAAAACGATCCTTAAACATTTTCGTGAACAGATCATCGAACTCGCAGAAATCATTGAAAATGTTTTGATGTGTCTTTTTTAAGCCTAGAAAATGTAAATTGCCTACGGCAAGCGCTTCATTTACATTTAGATTATCATTTTACATTTAAAGAGTCATCAACGCAAAAAAATTTGCATTGCCAAAAAGCATTTTTCGTCGATCTAGTTTGTTATGTGAACCGCAAAGACTATCACAAAATAACTCAATGTTGTCTGGAATACAGAAAGTGGGTCTAATTTAGGGGAAGAAATTTGAATCGAGCAAGGGTATGATTGCCTGCGAGCGCGGGGTCGTCTGGAGGCCGATAGCAGAAGATTCAAACGAGCGCGTGATTGTCGTCACGCTCGCTGAAAATTGAAACCAAACCAATTTTGAACGAGCACGGCGCAGAAGGGGGAAAGAGGAAAAGTCCTGGACAGGCTCTCACCAGCGAGGGTTAGCAAGTAGTATAATTCTATCATACATAGGTTTAAATACCATTATATTCATTTTATAACGGGAAAGTTTAGCATCTAATACCTAGTAGGCCTAGAAGAGGTAGAAGAGGAGGAACCTTCTTTTTGACTGATTCAATTCTTTCTTGGTTATATCAACCTTTTTTATTTCATCGACGTGTGTAGCCTTTACCGCTAGGCAGGAGCTTGCCATTACCGTGCCGAGAAATCCCCATCGACCGAGAGCTTTCAAAATTATTGTCGGATATCAGATTATCAATCGATTATTTGTTGATGACTATCAGACCGTAAAAATACTATACTTACCAACTTACAAAAATACTTACCAAAAATTCAATCGCACTAGTTTCTCTCACTTGTTTCTCGCAACATGTATGTGATACAAAGCATGCAAAACCATTTTTCGGTAGGACTTTTGTCCCCACTTCATAACATCAAAATCTTTTTGCAATTTTCCGGGGTCCAAATTTTGTGTTGGTTCCTCTTGTGGTAAAAAAATGTAATTTGTGACAACCTTGTGCCTGGAATCCAACGCAGAGGAAAGTGGTTCCGTTTGCAGGGATCTTCGGATCAACTCGCCGTTCCCGCCTTACGTATTTAACGATTTATGGCTATGCGAAATGACTGTTTTTGGTGTTCGAGCTATCAAGCCTATCAATGGTCTACCACCGAAGTCACGAACCCGCCTACCCAGGTGTTGCACCGCGCCTCCAACACGATGGAAAGCAAACAAATTTGCTCATTCATTTCGTTTAAAAGCGTTGCGCTTTCGCGGCTGTTGACAGACAATTTAAGTTATGTAATGTTTCGACTTTCGTCCTACACTCTTTAGAGTTTAATCGTCGGATAATGACCTAAAGTAAGCAGAAAATTTATATCCAAGTGTGGACCAAAAACAAGGTGAGAGGAAAAAAGACTCGTTTGAGAAGTATGCAAAGCCTCCTGCAACATTAATTCATTTATTTTGTCTATTCTAGGCCGATAAATTTTCTAGATGGCTACGAAAACCGTTGTGCTTATGCAATGGCTTTTGGTGTTGCCACCTCGATGATTGTTAATACTATCTTGTTTTCTGAAGGCACGAACACTATTCCAGGCTCTTTACAGAGTAAGTAATGGTCGGCATATCAACATTTTGGTAAGATACTTTTTCGTAGGAATCATAGTACCTCCAACACTCCAAGCGCTCTCTTTAAAGTACTCTGTTTACTGGCTCAGATAAGACATGAAATATTTCACAATTATGTATGTAAAGGAAATTCGAACTTGCTTGTCGGGTTGTTTTTGCATAAAAGAGCAAGGAATTTTGAGTTGTTTGATTTGATGTTTGTTCAAAGTACACTTTCATGTTTTACAATGACATTTGAATCCTTTGCTGTGCCATGAAGATTTGAATATCAAGATTCGAATAAACTTAGGTACCTGGTAATCATAGCGAGGCTTATAAAGCCTATAAACCGATGACTTTTTAACCTTCTTATAAAAGTCCTCTATCCCTATCATATTTTTGTCTTTGCTGTGTCTTTTCTTGTAATGAAAATTATTTGTATCTAATAAAGAGATTATGAAAGCTGAATTTCATGTCATTTTCACATTGCTTGTTTCATTTATGCTTTGAGCACATTAAACATAATTTTGGCCCTTTCTTCTTTTAGTCTTCATAAAGCTCTTAAAGGCAGCATTGATTTCCTTAATGCCGTTTCCACTCGTTGATTGCATTGGAATAAAAAAACTGCACGGAGCTATATGCGGATTGGCTTACAGCATATTGTGGTATGCAATTCATGTTTTTCTTTTCGTCATTTTATGATGCTTTTATTATAACAATTAGCCATTGATCCAACAAACACAGAGTTGAAAAGAACCTGTTTTTAGAATGTTTTTAACTTTGTGGAAAAGGAACAAGAGTGGAAAAGAAACTGTTTTTAGAATGTTTTTAACTTTGAGCACATTAAACTTGAAAATACCCCATTAAATATAACTAAATATGCGTTATTAGCTAGATATGGTAAAAACTGCCAGAGGTAATGCCAGGTGAGCACATTTTTATCCCAGAACAAACCTAAGGTACTATGAACCAGGCTTAATTAACACTAATCCATGAAAAACACGTCGGAAAAACTAAAAAGAAAAATTCTCCTTCCAGAATAACCAAAGAGCAAAACATCACCTCTACGTTTCATGACGTTTCAGACTATTTTCATTTTTATAAGATTGTTTAATAATTTCCTTAATAACTTTAATAATTTTGCGCAGGATTTTACGAATTTTCAATGTATATTTATTACATACTCGATATTCTTTTGCATTCTTTCCCTAAGGCTCTTGGTCTTGATTGGCGTGAATACAGAGATAACACGGAAATGCGACAAAAAAACGGTTAGCACGACAACAATTTTCTCCTTGTTATCTGCCTGTTCTCTTCCATTGTTATTTTGCAAGGGCGAACCTCCACTCATACCTTCTTCAGCTTTTTTAGCATAGCCAGTAAAAAAACCTAGGCCTCTCTGTTCACACGATACTGGATTCATTACATATCGGATTCACTGGCCTGATCCGATACGAATATAAAGCTCTGTTCACATGATAGTGGATTCATTTCATATCGGATTCACTGACCCAATTTGATACGAATATAAAGTTCTGTTTACACGATACTGGGTTCATTTCATATCGGATTCACCGACCCGATCCGATACGAATATAAATCTCTATTTGCATGATACTGGATTCATTTCTTATCGGATTCACTGATCCGATCCGATACGAATATAAAGCTCTGTTCACACGACACTGGATTCATTTCATATCGGATTCACCGACCCGATCCGATACGAATATAAAGCTCTGTTTACACGATACTGGATTCATTTCTTATCGGATTCACTGATCCGATTCGATACGAATATAAAGCTCTGTTTGCACGATACTGGATTTATTTCTTATCGGATTCACTGATCCGATCCGATACGAATGTCAATTTCTGTTCACAAGATACCGGATTCATTTCGTATCGGATTCACTTCTCCTCACACGGCGACCTACTGTTCAACACTGCTCCGAAAAAACTATTGTCTTTAAGCAGTTGCCTAGCAACATTGAATCTGACACGTTATTTTCTTCTAAAGAGAAAATATTTCAAAACTGAATATTTTGAGCTGCATATTTATTATTTCATTGGGATCCACTGTCAATTCGTGTATTGAAAAGAGCGCGAAATTGTTTGTATAACGAAGCTGCAAATTCGAGACAGAGGTTCCGGAGTAAAACCATATCGGATTCATGCGTTCACACGAGTTCGAAAGTGATCCGATATGGTTCCAACCACATTCAAAGCGGAATGGTTTGATTCCGCAAAAACTATTCGGTGCGTATCGGATTAAGTGTCATCGTGTGAACAGAAGGCCTATCCTAGGGCCTGCCCCACAGGTCATCAGCTTAAATCATTTATACAGATAAGCCTGTATGCCCGCCTGTATTTTACAACAAATACTCTGAACCAAAGTCAACAAGTAAAACGGCGTAAGCAAAATGTTTGCCGCGATGGGGGCTAGAGAGGGTAAGAAGAAACTTTCTTCGTATTGTTGGCCTCTCAAGTCCAGGATCAGTTGCGCGGGCCCTGTATCCGATATGAAAAGTGTTCCGATGCAACAATGAATCAGGTATCGCGTGGACGGGAAGGTTTTTTATCATCCTATCACACGGAAACCTGATACCATGACGATTTTTGCATCATATTAGTACTATATTTCGTCGTTTAAAAGGCGCGATTCTTAACACGAGCAATTTTATACCTTAATATACAAATTTTAATTGTAAATAAAGCGTTATATTCTCGAATGTCATTATGAGACTTTTCGGGCACAAAACTTTCTCAGCAATGCACAATTGACGTTGAGCGCTAGTATGAGTACTCATAAAATCAAAAACTGTTATAGCAAAAATTTTCATATAATGCCGCTAGAATGGCTATTGTCTACTTTTATAAAAGTAGAATAGTTCAATTTGCGGAAAATTAGCTATTTTAGAGCTATATGTCCAAAAGAAGATTTCTCAGCAATGTTTGGAGAGACCATGTTGGGGCTTTGTTTCGAACTTTTTCTTTGGATTCTGGAATTCGTCTTGAAATATTTTGAAATGGAGGAAACTAGTCACGTAAATATAACTAAACTTCATATAAAACTTTTGATATGTAAAAACATTTTCCTAAAAACCAAGTTACATGAAGAAATCTTTAAACTTTTGTAGTCGGTATAGTATTATTTATACTGATAGGTCCAGAATACTCTACAGTAGTAATATTTCTTTGCTAAATTCCCTTTTTGGAGCAGTATCTAAAATAAAAACATAGAATCTAAGTGATTTCGCCCCTCCCGCAAAAACTCCGTTCGAACGTGAACCACTGGCTATTTAGCGTTTTCTTTTGCAGATCTCCTTCGCCCATTTATGGGTTGCCGGCTTTCTTCCCATGGCCATATGCCTGCTTTTCTTAACTGGTCATTTCTTAAGAAAGATTTTCAAATTTGTAAGATGCAGATCAGTAAGTATCTAAATTTATAATTTGATTATGTTACGTATCATATGCTAATTTTTTGTGTGGAGTTGTTGCCAGATTCCTAGAGATGCAATTCGTGACCATTTAAAGAGACCTGGTGTAATGGGGTCGCAAAATGAAGATTCATAATCAACAATTTTACATTTCTTGAAGTTCTGTATTTAAAAACAATTGTTGAATATATCCAAAACTGGATCCGATGGAGTCTTCAAAGGACACGATAAATTTTCTTGGTTATTCAAGTTTTTGAACCAAGCGACCACTATATGAAGAAAATCTCTCTGCCCTTCTATCGAGGGAATAACAAGCAAAGAGATTTGTTTTTGTTTTTCAGCGCTTTTACAATGAAGGTTCTGACACCGACAGATATGAGATCCAATACGTTTCACGGTTGCTAAAGAAGAAACGTGTTGCTGTGTGAGTGTTTATGAACTCAATAATTAATTTAATCAACAAGGCAGCGTCATAGAGAAACTAATCCCCTAGAAATTTGTGAAATATATGGACAAGTTGCCCGGAAAAGACACTGTCTATATTTCCCGTGAACGCACTATTAAGCCCTAGGTGGGGGCTTATTTATTTTTTCAGTCCAAGAGGGGGGCTTAAAGAGAGGGAGCTTATTAGAGAGGGGGTTATTTATTATTCAAATTTATTATGAAAATGCCTCAATGATCTGGAATTTCTTCGAAAGAATTAACATTGTTCGGGAGATGAATCATGCCCATCTTGCAGACATGCACTATCCAACGTTTCAGGGTCATTGCACATGCGCATTATCACACGAAGCCCTGTCAGGTAGTTCTAGGGTTGTGTGGTCACAGGCAGAGCCGTTGTGCAAATACTCTTTTTGATGCGCATGTGCAATGACCCTGCAACATTGATTTGTTTAAGACGGTATTGTTTCGAAACAAAAGACTGAGGATTTCGTCTCCCGAACAATGACGTCACTATCCTCTTGTTGCACAAGAAAATCTTCTCATGGGCTGCATATGGTCATCATAACACCCGTCAAGAGACCCATCCAATTCGCATGTTTTCTTTGTTTGACATCAGGGTTTAAGGGGGGCTTACTCTAAGGTCCTTAATAGAAGGGGGGACGCTTATTAATTTTTTGATTTTTTTCTGACCCACCTGGAGCTTATTTGGACCCCCCCCGTTTATTAATTTTTATATGCAGTCATTTATAATTCATTTATTTCATTTGTCCTTTGATCTTGCAGGTTTTGAAATTTCTGTAAAGTTTCTCTTAAATGAAGAGGTTGCATTGTACAAAAGTTTAAACATAGAAAAGTAGTGACATCCTAAAAAAGTTCACATAGGCCTGACTGATGTACACAATGATAATTAGCCTGCTCATTTTAGTAATACAACAATACATTATTACATGGTGATAATTGTCATTTTGCTATCAATTGTATTCAGAAGAAAATCTCCTTTGACCCCAAAAAAGAATCATCACGTTATTTTTCAGATTTTTCACATTTCTGACCCCCCACTTATTAGGACCCCCACTTATTTATTTTTTGAAAAATTTCTGACCTCCCCCAACTATCAAGACCCCCCCTTCTATTAAGGACCTTAGAGTAATAGCAAGATTGGCTTATTTTGAATTTTTGCTTGGTAAGGGGGCTTAATAAGGAGAGGGGCCTAATAGAGAGAGGGGCTTAATAAAGAGAGGGGTCTAATAAAGAGAGGGGCCTAATAGAGAGAGGGGCTTAATAGAGAGATGGGCTTAATAAAGAGAGGGGTCTAATAAAGAGAGGGGCCTAATAGAGAGAGGGTCTTAATAGAGAGAGGGGCGTAATAGAGAGAGGGGCTTAATAGAGAGAGGGGCTTAATAAAGAGAGGGGTCTAATAAAGAGAGGGGCCTAATAGAGAGAGGGGCTTAATAGAGAGAGGGGCTTAATAGAGAGAGGGGCTTAATAGAGAAAGGGGCTTAATAGAGCTTTTACAGTATTTGAAGTATTAATCAAGTGAACCCGACTGAAAGATAACCTCGATGATTATGGTTGTAGACAAAGCTGCAATAACCATCTCACTACCATATCATGGGTATTAAAACTTGAATTTTTTTGCAAATGATGCTCAAGAAGGTTTTAGTAGGGGTAGGGGTAACTCCTTGCTGTTTCTTAAAACACGCCATTTTTCTATTACGATTTGGACCTTGACTGCAAGACTGCTAAACCCTTCTTGCAGTGCAATTTTTTGACCAGAAAACTGCTATGGCAGACTATTGAAGTATGACTTTCCTTCTTCTCAATTCATTTCATCCTTTTTTCGGAGGATTTCAAAGACATGTTTTAACATGCGTTCTAGGGAGAAAATTGGTAGGATGACGGTGACCCAAGTTTCTACTCTACTGACATTGTCCAAACAGGGGCACGACTATCCTATTTCCCCAAGCTATTCTTGCCGACTGTTGCTCTCATTTACATATTAGTCTTGATCAGCCCCAGATCACAATAAACAAAGTAAGAGCTATTATACAAATTTATTATAACTAATTATACTATAGCTATACGTTTTTTGTATGTAAATTGATAGACCATATGTAGCGGGATCTTTATCGAAGAAGTGTGACGAAGAGAAAAGAATTTCGTTTATGTTTTCTGCTTCATCATCGAAATCAAAAGTCCTCTAACTAACTACGTGCTGAAATATATATCCTTAAGTTAAGTGGGTCATAAGTAGCATGGTAACGAGGTTAATACTGGAAAGGAGAATATTCCCATCACACATAGCGTAGATGGGGGAGGTCAAGGGTGCGACAGCCCGCAAATGCTATGAAAGTTGGTCTGAAGAAAATGCGAATCTGCAGTTAAATCAGTAACTCAGGAAATTGAGGTTTTATATTTCAGACAAAGATTAAAATTGGGATGGGATCTTGAACATTCGCTATGTCGAATGTTTTTTTCCGTGTTCCTCGTTTTGATATAAGGGATATTTGATAAGGTGTATACCGTCCCCAATTCTAAATATATTCTCAATCTATCTTGATAAATGAAATAAGTGAGATAAATGAGCTCTTTCCTTGGTCCATATCTACTTTTAAACACAGATGACCCCTTTTTGATCGAAAAAATCCCGAGTCCGGATATCTCGAAGTCCCGCTATGTCGAAGAAATTTTCATTTCCCGTACGAGTTCGAGATAGCGGGACAAGACTGTATCCTCAATCTATCTTTAAACTATTCCACAACCATCCCACAACCTTTGACTATTCTGTAAATATCAATAGGCCCAGGGGTATATGAGTTTCCCAGGTGTAACACAAAATTCGAAATGACAATATTGCTTTAAAAACGAGCCGATATTATTCACAAACTGCTAATGCATGTATAGACTGACATTTTTAAGAAGCAAGAAACCAAATGCTCATAAAGAGGTTCGCAGATTTTGGTCCTAGAAGAATGAACTTAGCTTGAAGCCTCTGAAAACGATTTGTTATTCTTGCACATTTGCTAACGGCTTTGGACAAACAGGAATTGTAAAGAGAATAGCCAGCATGAAAAAGTCAGCAACAAAAAGCTACATATGACTGTTATTGTGTTTGAATAACCAACCATCAACCACGCACAGATGGCTTATTCCAGTGTTCTTACAAAAAGGGTCGTTTTCCAGCATTCTTCAGTGCGTGGTCTGCAATACCCTGGACTTCCTGCTGTTGGACTCACCTTTGGACCCAAATTTTCCAACCTGGCAATGCCCCACTGTTGATACGGGAAGGAAATGATAAATATATAAAGAGGAAATATGATTATGAATACGGTGGCTAATAATGATTGATATGAATTTTCTGGATGGTTCTGTTGGGTGGAGAGGAGAAAGATGTATTTGGGACTAAAGGCACTAAAGGGATTTTAAATTTATACTTGTTTTTGCTATTAACCATGTTGAATACTCTTTGAATATTCTTCATTACCAGGAAAGAACTTTTACCGGCACCACACGCTCTTCAGAGAATAGTTGATTTTATTCGATACAGAATATATCCACCGCAGCCAGGTAGGGTTAAACCTCATTCATTTATAAAATCAATGAAGAACATAACAATCTTAGAGTAAGTTTTGGAAAGGACACCCTTTTTGGCGAATGCATCATCTTCGAGTTGATTGGAAGTTTATCAAGATTACGTTTTCAGAATGGAAAGGGTTGGGGTCAATCAAAAGTTAGACATGCTACAAAACTGCTTTTCTTTGTCTTTTAATGCAAACGTGGAAAGCGATAGAGATGTTTCAATGGGCGAAAAAAATACTTACATAATCGACAAGCTAGCTAGAACAATTTGTCATGAAGTGATACGACCTATAATCTCATTATTTTTTATGTAGAATTCAAATTCTCAACAAGGTTTGTCTGCACAATGACTGTATCATTCATCGCGGTATACCAGGCAAGTTTTTCTAAGCTTCTTCATTCTCAAATTTATAAGCGGGGGGGGCCTGTAGAGCCATGAAATTTCAAGGGCGTGTTAAGGGGGGGAATACACAGTGTGCCAAGGGGTGGAAGAATTTTTTCAATATCATCAGATGGGTTTAAAGCTATCATTTGTTCAAAATTCAGACCCTTACCAAATGAGCAAAAAGAATTTTAGGTTCAAAGTTCAATTTTGAAGCATTTTGTGTCTGTTTGAAGTTGAACAATAGATACGAAATGACATCTTTTTTATTTTGAGGGACGTTTTTTGGAAAATACAGGAAAATTTATGATTTTCAAACAGTAATGGCTCTTCTTTTCATCTAGAACTCATAGCATACACATTGTTTTCATAAATTTACATGCATAAACAACATTAAAACAATTTTTGAAGCATAAAGACAAAAAGTTCATTCCAAAAACAATTCAAACACCCTAGGTAAGTATAAATCCTGAGAATTTCAGATTTCGCAAGGTTTTTCTTTATGGTGGAAACAATGATTTTGGTGAATATGCCCAAATAAAGAAATTTAGCCCAGACACCCCAAAAATTGTTTTTAGAGAAACATTTTTCATCATGTAGAGAATTAAATTACGATTCCAAAAGCTCTCCCAGCCTTTTTCCATGTTCGGCAATTATGGGCACATTGTGGCATGGTGTACTGGAAGACATTAATTCAGAAATTTGATTATTTTCTCATATCAAAAATTGTTGGTCTTGAATAAAATCCATAAACATTGAATCCTAGTAAGAATTAGGTGACTGAAGGTTAATTCGACTCTGAAATTATTAAAGCAAAAATGATCTAAGCCCTATATTCATGCTATAAGTAATACCCTTCCAAAAGGGCCACTATTGTCTCAGCAATGATAAGAAACTTTTTTCAATTTAAAGTAAAAACAATTTCATATGGCTGTATGTGTGAAAAGGCCACAATTATGGTGAAAAGTCAGATTTAGAATCCCATTGAATGCCATAGTTTATATCGTCGTTAGTTTTATTATGTTAGCTTATTGTATATTTGTATATATTACTTTTAGCTATCCAATCTATTTTTGCTAGCAAGTGAATAATGTGATAGTAATGAAAATGATAAGAGCTGTACATGAAGAGGACAAGAAGGAAAATGTAGATTTCAAATTTTTTAGGTCTCTTGCCCTCTTATTAGCCGTATGGTTATGAAGTTTCTTTTTGAAAATCATATTATTCTTCAGTGTAAGACACTACTTCGCTCCGAACGTAAGTAACCAGCAGCCCCAAAACCCCCTCCAACCTCCCTCCAAACACCCCTCCAACCTCCCTCCAAACACCCCTCCAACTTCCCTCCAAACACCCCTCCGACCTCCCTCCAAACACCCCTCCAACCTCCCTCCAACCCCCGCTCCAACCTCCTTCCAACCCCCACTAGGTATTGCTCTAGTTGCTACCCTGTAGTACCCAGGAATTATCCCTGTAGCCACTTTCTTGTTAAGTTGGGCTGTGTGTCGGCTTTGTGCATGCCTCTTTTTTTGTCTTAGACTCACAATTTACAGCTTAATCATTCAACCCATTTGGTTACCTTTGGGTAGAGAGAGGTTGCCAGAAAAAATGCACCGTGTAACTATAGCTTAAGTGATTTCTCCAATCGACATCCAACAGATTTTTTGTTAAAGATTAACTTTCATGAACTGAACCAGTTAGTTTTGTTAAATACATGTATAAAATTCGTAGTTCAAATCTTTTCTTGCAAGGTGATGGTGTATTTAGCCGTTTACATCAAATCGTTTTTTCCAAGCATCAAAATTGGTGAGTTTGATTCTACAAATTTTCAAGTATTCCTGCCTTGTTTGGTAAAACGTAAATATGCTGCATCTGGAGAAATACCAATACTGTACTGGATACTGCATGACCTAGATATTGCATTCAAAATTGCCTTGATAGCACTTTTAAAGGGTTCACATATTTTAAAGCGCCTGTGACATAATTTTCGTACTTTTGGGTTTATATATCTATTCTTATGTAAAAAGGCCTGTTATTTTCATTTCTGAGGTTAGTTTTTACGTTTCGTGAGCTTGGCTAGCCGCACTATTTTGCTTAATTTCAATATCAAAACGCTTTTATTTAAAAAAAAGATCAGATATAAGATAAGAGCAGTGCAACGCTTCAATTGAGAGCATAAAAAATCATGTCACAGGCACTTTAAACAAGAAGAGAAATCTTCCTTGGGTTGGTTGGCATTCGAATATTTGATTCAGGTGATTTTGATGCTAATTTGACTAAAAATTTTTTCGAGGTTTCCCAAAGCAACAATATCGAGGCTAGAAAAGAACCAATTATTTTTTTTTCATTTGTAACAGGGCCTACACCACGAAATTGGAAGTGGGTGTCAAGGCTAGCAAAAGTAGGGGGCCAAGGCTTTTTCCCCTTTTACTGCAGTAGGGGGTCTTTTACTGCAGCTTTAAAACTACTTGCTTCGTAAAAAAAGTGGTAGGGGCATGGCCCCTCCGCCCCCCCCCTCCCCCCCACCCCCACCCCGGTGGCTTGGGCCCTGTGTAATTAAAAGCAATGCCAATAGAATTACAAATACAGAAACAGTATTACTTAGAGTCTAGTGCTAGATGATTAAGTCACAATTTTAAGTATTTCACGACTCTGCGCTTGTGATAGCAAGGAAACGATGAAGAGACATTATCGATGCTAATAGTTACAAAGTTGTGGTAAAGTACTTCTATTAAAAAAACGATGATCTTTGATAATGGTTGTATTCTTGAAAATGATTTGCGGGAGACTTTTTGCATCCAATTTTTACACTTCTGCACCCTCTTTGCGTGAGGTTTGGTACTTATTCCAAACTTTTTGACTGATTTTATTGTTTTCATGATTTTTCCAAGTAAGTCTACCAATTGAATCGATTGATTCATCCTGTTGCTTCATTGGCTTACAAGTGGACGATTTATTCAGTGATTTTTGTAGAAGAAGGGAGTATTTCTCCTTGTAAATTGGTCATTTCTCAAATGAACTGAAATATTCTGAGATATGAATGAAGTTTTTCTTAACACTACTGTATTTAGTTCCAGTTGCTCCAATTGCTGGTGCTATTATTGTGTCCGGAGTAAGAAGCTTGTTGGTGGGAATAAATGCGTTCAAATGGCACAGGTATTTCTATAACCGGTCTCGTAGATAATAAGATTATCATTTTTTTCAGCCGAATGGTACTGAAGTGGATAATGTCATCTAATCTACATTTTTCAGTCGTTACTTTGGAGTTATTTTCGTATGCATCATAATTAAGCTATTAAATCATCACCCTTCCCTGATGCTTGTTCTAGACTCTGTCTCCACTTCGTCTTGCTCCTCGCAATGTTTGCAGTCTCAGTCGTCACTCTTAATCATAATCATCATCATACCAGTATTATCATCAATGATTAGCATCAAAACAAATATACTTCCACACGTGTTTAAGATTCTCTGTTTTCTATGAAATCATTCAGACTATACACCGACTCAAAAAGACTGATTGGAAATTGCTCATTCAACGAGAATCTATGGCATTATAAAGGGTTTCCAAAATAAAATTATTCCAAACAAACTTGTGCATCCTTGTTAAGAAAGGGGTGGGGGTGAACATTGCCGGAGTTTTTCTGTATTTTAACAAAGGGGCTATGCCCCCGATCCCCCATCCATGGCTCCCCTGTCTTTTTCATGACATTCCTGCTTTAGATTCTAAACCAGCAATCGAGATTCTTCTTCATCGTCTTATTTTACCTGATTCTTTTTCAGCGTCCGTTGAATGCTTATCTCTCTTCTGTTCTCATTCATGACACCGCACCCAGCCCGGGTTCTACCGTACGCCTGGCCGAGTCATATTTTCAATGTCTTTGAGCTTAAGACATAGCAGTACTGACTTTTGCTTCAAAAGTGTTTCGTATTTTATAGATCTCTGCAAATCAACTGTTATTCTTCTTTGAGTATATCTATTGAACTCATTTTGGCTGATATTTGTTGACCGAGATATGCATGCTTGCGTATTTTGTCAAAGACCTCTCAATGTAGCTTGTATTAATATTTTCATTTGAATACTGGGATCATTTCAAATCACCTTGGTATTCTTTTTCTCGATCTTTGTCTCATCATTCTTACTTTGTAAAAAGAAGATATTATTGGTTCTCAGTTTCATCTCACTTAGCTACTACTCCAATGTATTTGAACTCACCAACCTGCTTGTATACTATTAAATGTACGTCTATGAGAAGTAATTTTAAAGCTATTCAACCGGACTTTTTAACGATACAACCTGATTGATGCTTTGATGCAACTTTTCTATAGAAATCATTTGATGAGGCTTCGTTTGGGTGACAGAGAATGGCTACCACCCTCTTTAAAGACATTCGATTCCTGTCCAACACGTGCTACGGTTTGTATTAATATTTTGTTTTCATCATATCAGACAATTCTTTTTTATTTATTGTGTATTATACGTTTTATACAAATTCAAAGGTCATGTCGAAGTGTTTTATGTATTTAATTCTACAAGGCTTATCAAAACTTATATTACATTTCTCAGCCCCAGGTATAACCTATTTAAAAGTACATTACACCCCGTTTATAGGAAACTCATTAATAAAAAACTGCAGGCTGACTTTTTAAAAGTTGTGTACGTGTGCCACAATATCAGAAATTGCTGAGCCTGAATCAATTTCCAGTATCTTTTTAGTGATTGCTCAAAACAAAAACTTGTTAAAAGTCAATGTAAGAAGCAGTTTTACAGAAACGAACTAGCTTTCAACTTAGTTAATTTAAAACACTGTTCTGTAAAAATTCATTTTTTTTGTCAAAATTTGTCATTGTCAAACCATGGCTTTATGAGATTATTATCATCTTCATCATCTTCTTTCTTTTGTCATTTCCATTTCAAGGTCCTGTCTAAGAACTAATTTTGACACTTTGTCAGGCAGTTGTTTGTTATTTTGAACACTTACCGTCTAAAGCTACAAACAGCTTGCTATTTATATTTTTGGGGAATCCATAGTACTAAAAACCCCTTATGCATCAAGGCATGCATCAATGGTTCTTAACTTGCTAATCTTTAGATACCTATTCTGTGTTTAGTTCCGATACATTTCCTCATCAAATTGGGACGATTTACGAACTCGTTCCAGCCGAAATGGTGGGATGTGGGCGTGTGACCTCTTTGGTTTCTCGTTGAGTCGCCGTTGAACTAAAACTGCTAAAACTACTTCCAGCAAAAAGGGAAATATTTTTTATTGAGTTGCTTGATACAAAGCTTACAATAGAAAAGTGAAATATAATAGAATACATTATTTAATATCAATAAATTAGTTTGCCTTTCCAGGCTGTTCTTGCGATATTCATTTTCTTATAGGATACTCATTAGCCTGTTTTTCAAAATCAATAACTGTTTTGAATGCATAACCAAACATCTTTGAATTGATTTTAGATTGGAAGCTTGAAGTTTTCAGGATTTCAGATTGCGTATTCTGCAATTAGTAAGTGTTTTGTGCAGTTTAAATACCTCATCAAGTAAATAATGCGCGACGTAATTGTGGACTTGGGTACAGGTTGTCATTAAAAAACAGGTATACTCTTTGAATGGTGCCAAAATAACTTGAAAAAGTGAGATTCTAGTCTGTCCAAAGAGCTCATACACAATGCCTACCGTCCATCTGAAGGTTTGAACCATCAAATTCCAAAGACAAACCTAACCCGCTCTGGTCTCCAATGTAGACAATATTGAAGTGACCTCAACTGTTGTTTGTTTAATTTTTTGTGTGGTATGGTATATTGTAAGTATTTAGTTGTAATGTTATCTTGTAGAATTTTATTAGGATTGATTGACAAAAAAATGTAACTGAAAACTGAGAACTGAAAGTGAACTCTTTCAATATCTACTTTAAGACTCACTTTTCAAACTCCCCTCCCACCGTCACTTCGAAGCATTGCATTTCAGAACTTTGACAGTGGCTTATTTTGTGCCGTATCCTTCTGTCTCATTTTTGCTTGATTGCCTCTTGACAAAGTAAAAATGGGAAAACGTTCTTATATATTTTTTGCTGTTACTATGCAAGTATATTAAAGCAAAAGGAGGAAAGCTTAACATTTTTCTTTTCTATTGCAGATAACATGTTTGTTGCAGTCATGCTTTATATTATTTTCATTGTTTGCCAAACATATGGAGGTTCTCTACTCCTCAGTTTTATAAAGAGTTATTGGTATGCATGAGCGGCTTTGTTTTGCTTTCTAATATTTTCGTACAGTAATGTACTGAACAGTAACGCGACATATTTGCTATATGATGCTATAGCAAATCTTATCTTTTTTAATTAGAAAAATCTTATATTTCTACGTTTGTTTAGCCTGCGCCCCAGTCCGCAAGTGCTGCCACATTTATGGACTGTGCAATATTGATAAATATTCTGTCCAGAGAGAGGGCTGGGTCTAGTTTTTTGTCTAGTTTAGTTTAGTTTAGTCTTGTTTATGGAAATAATTTATGCAATGACACCTTTGAAGTTTGCATGAAAAATCTTTGAAGAAATATTCACTGAAACCACGCAGGACGTAGATAAGATGATGCGCGGAGAGTTGAAAGTTTTACAAGGTCGGAACCGTTGACAATTTCAGCTAATTGCAAAATTTTGAAGGGTTGCATAAATTAACCCCAAGATCCGGATATCTATCAATATTGCACAGTCCATAAATGTAGCAGATTTTGTGGACTGGGGCACAGGCTACGTTTGTTTGTCTTCTTAGTGTTTTTTAATTTCTCTATGATCATTCCACATTTTGTTGCAGTATTTACATGATGTTTTAGCATTTACTTGTTTTTTATTAATACCTATGTTGTCATCCTATTTAATGTCGCTACCGAATGCCTTGCTTACAATGTGAATTCCAGTTATGTTTATATAGTTCTTCCAAGAACTAGAAATTTATCTACTTGTAACGAATGTTATTTGAATTAATTGATACCAAGTCGATTTATCGAAGCATGCATGTATGTCCTAAATTTTCAAAACTGTCATTCCTTTGGCTAGTGCCTAATTTCTACTGCCTAATAGCTAGTTTTTATCCATCCTCATTATGAAATCCAATTCAAAATGTCGACCTATCCAGTTACTTTTCAGGCCATATTTTCTCAGTATGTCTGGTGTCTGGCTTGCCCAAAGACTGCTTGTTAAATATGTCTTCATTCAAAAGAAGGATGGGCTTGTGGCAATCATCCGGAGGTAATTTTCAGCCAAAATGTCACGTCACTTTTCTGATTGATAGTTCGAGTTTTTTGTTCCCTTGCCTTCATTGAGTTCGGGCTTCCCTGAAAATGTGTATGGGATTCATATTAGGGCGTTACTGTCCCCTGGATTTAAACGAATTGAAAGATTCAATTCTATCTTGAATATGTTGCGATACTAAATTCAAAACTGATACACAACACATGGCGTATTCTACTATGCATAACAACCCAATACCAAATCGAAACGTTTTTCTCTTTCAATTAAATCTCTACGCCTTCAAGATATTACATTTTTGCATTTGGTAACAAAAGACATATTACACATGCAACCACATCTCCTTTTAATTTACTTTAAGGTATTTTTTGCTTTTCATTAATTGTATCTGTGTGCTAAATAAAATGAATTCTTTTCAGGCGAGGTTTCAACCACCTGTCCTACTTTTTCTTCTTTTTCAATTCACTTCTTGGTGGAGTATCGTATATTCTTCGCCTCGTAAGCGGTCTCCTGCTGGGTTTGTTATTTCTGGAGAGAACACAGAAAAGCTTGATTCCACGTTCCTTTGAGCGCTTTGACCGAGGTAAACTACAACTACTTTAAAATGGCTTTGAAAAATTGAAACATTTTATAACATATGTCATATGAAAAACTTTTAGCCAATATTTTATAAAATGTTTGCTTTTTTCAAAGCCATTTTCAAGTTCTGTACCGCCAAAAAACTGTTTACATTTTCTTCACACTTTTTGTGTATGATAACTTCGAATAGCCTTCTTTCTTTTTAAAACGTTCAATTATAAAAACGAGGTATTTAAAAGTGAAATTAGAATATGAATTTTAGCGGCTCCATACTCTCTTTTTTTAAGAGCCAGATTGTTTTGGATTCGGTGTACTTTTTTTTGGATGATTTGAGGCTCGGGTGTTCTTAATGTTGCTCTCATTTCAATATTGGTTTGTCTGAAACTACTAACTGTCAATTATTTCAATGCCCTTAAACAACAGTTTTGCGTGACATTTTTAGTAGCTCGGTTGGCAAGCCAGGGACCGCGGGGGGGGGGGGCACTCGCACCGAAGTATGAAGCTGCTGAACTTAGTTGCTTTTCTTATAATGTTGTGGTTCTCTGCATCCAGTGATGTAAATTTTCTTGTTTAGGTTACGTTTCTTATCTGTCATATCTACACGTGGAACATACATTTGGCAATCCTGTGTTGGTGGTCTTTGTAAAACTTCTGAATCTGTGTACACAGTGCAGCGAATTTGGTAAAATACAAGATGGTAAGAGTTATTAACTATCTCAAATTTATGTTAGGCTTTGTAATTTTTTCAATTTCACTTAGTTGTGATTAAATTCAATTTTATTACCCTTTATTGAAAAACTACAGAGTTCTGTAATTTAAGAAATAATTAAACACATTAGAAATTTTCAGGAACTACAGGAACTAAAGATACAAAAATGCATTTTGTAGCATTGTATATTTCCTGACCCTTTTCAAAAGAAAGAGTTTTTTATATGTCTATATGTAATTACAGAAGAGTGTATTTTGTATTTAAAAACATTGTTATTTCTGTAAGCGAAGAGCATGAAATTCCTGTCACTTACAGTACGGTCCATAGGACTTTATGTAATTCTTTCTAGTAGAGTGTTTTCTAAAAAAACGAAATACTGCATATCAGATTTGTGGGAATGTGTTGAAGGAACAATTCAGTGCCTACTCTAAGCCTTTTTTCCAAGACCACTGATTTTGCTAAATGGAAAGAAAGGGGGTCCATGTGTACACATTTGGCAAAAATGTGGCATACCACGTTCTTCAAATTGCTGGAAACTGAAACCACACCCAATTTTTTTCATTAAACAAAACTTTATTATGTTTCTTATTATGTTATTTTTGCATATGTGACATTGTAAATAAGTATGATAGAATGAGAGGCAAAAGTAGGCAGAATCAATCAAACTCAAAACAAGTTAAGTTATTACAATGTCACATGCCTTTCTTATTTTTCGCTGAATATTCATTTATTTAGAATGGTTACTCTAGTTATTCTAAATAAGTGAATATTGGCAGAATATATTCGATACCTGGACACTACACCCTTGATAAGCACCTTGACAGGAAGTCGCCCTGTCTCGAGATATGTAACAGTGTCTCAGATCAGATCATCCAAGTGAGTCGTAAGACGTTTGCAGCACTACTGTGCAGTACAGTAGGTAGTATGCCAGAAACAACTCAATACAATTTTTTTCATATAGCTAATGTTGTCGAAAACGTGACTGGCAGAACAACAGCTTCGTTGGAAAGATATCACTTGGCAAGAAATAGATGGTTCCTTGCGTACACATTGATTAAAAACCCAGCCTTGATTACATTCAGAGGTAAAAACTTGCCTGTGGCTACAGCATCAGAGAAAGATGTAGTCTTGAATATTTAGGCGTCTTGCGATGATGTCTTGGTATCCTGAGAGTGTTACGACTCTGCAGAGCGGCTCTGCTGACTTCGAAGGAAGGGTTTTGAGTACTTTTATCTATATTTTCAAAGTAACAATATGCTGTTTTTCGTAGTAGCCTAGACAAAGGTAGGTTCATAGCGTATCTGTTTCAGATCACCCATAAGGGTGTAGATGAAAGAAATTTTGATGCAAGCATGTAGAAGTTTGTATTTTTCTTAGTAATCTGGTATATATTGTCTTCCAAGACAACAAAGCAGCTGTTGAGTAAAGTTTTTTGATAAGTCCTATGTTTTCCTGCGTGATTTCTATTCTGCAGCTTTTGGTAGGTGGATGGCTTCGTGATTCCCAACAAAGCGAAAGGTGTGCATTTTCGCTATTGCACCTATACTCGATCATAAACACGGAAGTGAATTGACTTGGTTTTACTTTCAAGGCACTTAACTTTTTCACCAATTCTGTTTTTTCGCCTAACTTTTCAGGAAACGTGCATAATTCCAATGTAGCTCAAGGTGTCTGTGCCAAATTGTGTTTCGCGGGGGTTCAGTGCTTAATTAACAAAGGAACAATGGGGCACTCTCAAAAATTCTCACAAAATAATTGCAAAGTAAGGGAAGGCTTACTTCTTAGCATTATGAAGGGGGCTCCTTGGCCACCCTTGGGTTATGCACCATTGGTACTTTAGTCTTGTGTTCCTCCCTACATCCTCGACCATAGACTGACGAAATGTAATTGTTTTATCAGAAGGCTTTTATCAGAAAATCATGCATCAAAAGCACAAGGTTCATATTATATACATCCTTCTTTTACCATCGCTAATGGAATGGGTTAGCCTTCAGTACTTATTATGCACATCAAACTTGAGGTAAACAAAATATCTCGAGTTCGCACTTTGCAATAACTGGACATTGGTAGTAGCCGTAGTTTAGGGTTTTCGCCAAAGAACCCGAAAGGGCCCCATAAAACACTAGTTACAACCTATGAGCTACTGACACTATAAAAACCTACCTGAAAGTATAAAAAGAAAACTATCTGCTGTACACTTGGAAGGATGAAAATTTCAGGGTCAAAAATTGTCTTGACATATAGCCATATGAGCACAGAATCGTTTAAGCCACTGTAATTTGGCATTGGTTCTGAAACAACCTGGCTCGGGGATTAATTTAAGGGTTTTTTGGACGAGCACGGCTAAGCTAAATGTGACGACAAGTCCGTTTATAACCCTACAAAATACACAAGGAATTTTGCATGACCGTCTAGCAAACTGCCTAACCGAAATTTTTAAAGGTTAAATCATGAAAGTAAAGGCCACTGATAATTTTAAGCCTTGGGTACATTCCAGCAAATGAGTGTAAGTAATGTTTCAGAAAACGTGAAAAATGCACGGTCAGCAAAATTTTGACCTTCAAATCTGATTATTTTATCAGAAAGATCTTGCAAAACTGAGTAAAAAATACCAAAACATCATTGTTTCTTGGCGTAAATTGACGTGCTGAATAGAATAAGTTCAACTCCAACTTTAAAACATCACAAAAAGCTATTTTTAGACTTCGGTACTTGTGCCCAGGCTGTTGGGTATCGCCGTATAACCTTGCAACTATGCACGTTGTTCAACTGAAAATTTGAGTGTATTCGCCGAAAAAGCAACCACACATCGCTAAAAATCCTCATTTTTGAGATAAAACGTTGTTCAAAATTGCATTTTGCAGAAGCTCAGTCTCAGCTTGTTCTTAATTTGTTCTCAAATTTTGACCAATTTTGAGGCTCGTGTTCTTATAAAATTGTTCTTATAAAAAGAAAAAAGTGTATTTGAGATTTTTCCTTCCATGTTTCGTTGTTTTTTGGCCGTTTCTGCAACAGTATGAAATATATCAGTGATCATAACCACGAAACATTTAGTGTTCGAGCTGCATGAAAAGTTGAGGTACGCCATTAAAACCGACAAGCACGTATTTTGGTCGACGAGGCACCTCCGCGTTTAATTAATTAGGCACGTTAAATTAATGACTGACCTGGTTGAAATATAGCAGTTACTGACTGACCGAAGTCTCAGGAAATCTGTAACAGATTTGACTGTTTATGCAGATCACTGAGTACTTCACTGAGATATCTTACCAGCCGAAAAATCTCCCCCCCCCCTCACTCGAATAAGCCTGGCTCCTCGAATTTTAAATATTTGATAAGCCACCATGTTCAAGCAAGCCCAAATCTGATAGTCATTTTTTAAAAATAGGTTATTTTAGAA